CACGCCGGTCGAGTTTTGTATCCTCCTCGCTGAGATCGCCACTGAGAGAATCTTACAATGTCTCGACTTTCTATGGATTGGATTTTGCAGTTTCAGACTAGTAAGAATTTCCGAGTATTTTTCCCGGGAAATTTTTCCTGTTGTCCTCAGAAACTTCGCCATTTCGGCAAACTTCGGTTTTTGGGTATACGTTTGATGTGAATTCTGCAGCAGCCGTTGAAATTTGTAAAGAGAAAAGTGCCACTAGCATAGTTCTGGCAGAACACGGGGTAAGGGGGTGTTGAGATTAAATTGTCATATAATCTTCCCGAATTGTGGTATTGAAATCGAATACAGGGATGATCAAAAAATGAAGTAGACTATGTTGGTTCTGTCGTAAAATATTCCCGAGTTGTGGTATCGACTTCAATCGAGATGATAATTCACAAGCAAGTGTATTTGATTTTCCATGGAGCGTAGTAGGTCTTTTAAAAGGATGCAAAATATGTTAATCATGTGAACTACGTACTATTATGATTTTATATAGTTTTCGCTGGAATCGAAAATAAGGGAGAAACTATGTGTTGGTGTTATCGAATTTTCAATCCAGGGAATTCGACGGGAGTGGGCAAGTGGGTTTTTAAGGATGTAATTTTGTGGCGCGTGACAGATTCCTAACGTCCCCCACACAGTGTTCCTGAACCCGTGTTGTTCTCTTGCTAAGGACTATATACCCAAACAGCAAAGTGCAGTTCAACAGGTGAGAGCTTCCGTATTGATTCGATAATTTTACGTGAAGTGGCATAATACTCTGTGAAAAACTCGCTATTCGCGTTATGCAGTAGTCGTGGAATACGTTTCTTTTTCTTTCTAGGGTTTTTCATATCGCGGATGAAACTGTCGTAGAGTGTGATGTGTTAGGTGCTGGAGTATTGGAGAAAAGAAGGATCGGAGTCGTTGGTGTTGAAACCATTGAAAGGTGGTATCTAATCGGACCTCATTTGTATCTAGTGTGGAGGAACCTAAGATTCTTCCTGTTTTTAGTGGAAAGATAGATTTTTTGGTTTTGAGATTTTGCGCTTGTGAATGCAGTGGTGATATTTTTTCCAAAGTAAATTTATTTATTTTTGTTTTTGATGAATGCAATCATTTCGATCATTTTGATTTTGTAGTGTTAGATTTTCTCGCGGGAAATTTCCTTAGAATTTGAAGGTGTTTGGAGGAATCTTTCGGGAAATTTTTGATTTCAGCGTAAGCGGTGTTTTTTGGGGGAGTTTTTGCGTATTGAATGTATCACAGTGTTGGAGGAATTTATGTTAGGTTTACTCGGCGGAGCTCAGGAGTTTTCATACCATATTATGGAATTTACACACGATTTGGGGTAGAATTGTGAGAAAATCACCAGAAATTTGCCAAAATTTTCCTTCGATTTTTCCGTCTGTATTTGACCAAGGTGAGAAATCGTGGGAAAAAATTGGAGAAAAATATCCCCGAGGTCTCTTGGATGATTTA